TTTTTATTTGGATTAATTACACTTTTCACCTTGTGGAATCCACAGATTTTTGAGCTTAAGGAGTGCTGTAGTGCTAGGAGCTTCGTGATTTTAGCAGGTTTGGCCCATCATACTTTTAATTGTACTATTATTAATGTGTATGCACCTAATGATGTACTCAAAAGAAGGAAACTTTGGGAGTCCCTAGCAACACTGAATCAGTCCTACCTAAGCCCTTGGTGCATAGGTGGTGACTTCAATGAAATCAAATTTAGGAGTGAAAGAAAAGGGTGCTCTAGAAGGGAAAGAAGGATGAAGGATTTTAATGATTTTATTGATAAATTGGAGCTGGTAGATATGCAAATGCTAGGCAGGCAGTTTACTTGGTGTAATGCGATGGATGGGAATAGATGGAGTAGAATCGATAGATTTTTAATCGATCCGAGGTGGCTAGAAGAGTTCAAGTTTAAACAATGGGGACTGCCTAGGTGTATCTCTGATCACTGTCCAATACTTCTTATGGAGGATGAGAGGGATTGGGGCCCAAAACCGTTTCGATTTGTTAATGCATGGTGTTTGCATCCCAAATTCAAAGCAGAAGTGAAGAACTGCTGGGAAGGATGCCAAGTAAGTGGTTGGGCTAGTTTCAGACTTTTGAAAAAGTTGGGTAATCTGTAAGTCCATCTGAAGAGGTGGAACAGTGAAGTCTTTGGCAACATTGAGGAGAAGCTGAAAAAAGCAGAGGAGGAACTGCACGAGTGGGATCTGATAGCTGAAGAAAGGAATTTACTGGATGCTGAGTTAAAAAGAAGGGTAGAAATTAGGAAATTAGTTTGGGATCTTAGTAAGAAGAAGGATTGGCTGTGGCTTCAAAAATCTAGAAGGGTCTGGGCTGAAAATGGGGATAGAAATACCAGATTTTTCCATTTAATGGCAACCAAAAGGCAGAGGAAAAACTTGTTAGACTCAGTTAATGTGAATGGTGTGATTCAGGATGAGCCTGGGATGATTAAACGGGCAGTGGTAAGGCATTTCAAGTTCCTTTTCAATGAGGATTGGAAGAATAGACCAAAGTTGTCAGGTTTTTTTGCCTCAATCAATCCAACTGACTCAGCTGAGTTATTAGAGGCAGAATTTTTGGAAGATGAAATCTGGGAAGCAATAAAAGATTGTGATGGGAATAAAGCGCCGGGGCCAGATGGTTTTAATCTAAAATGTATTCAAAAGTGTTGGACCATCATGAAAGGTGAGTTTGTGCAATTGATGAATGAGTTTCATGCTAACGGGAAGTTAGCTAAAGGAATAAATAGCTCATTCATTACTTTAATTCCTAAGAAGGAAAACCCTGTGGGGTTGGGAGATTATAGGCCTATAAGCTTGATTAGCTCTATATACAAAATTGTCGCTAAAATCTTATCAAAAAGGCTTAGGAGAGTGATGCCCAAGATTATTAGTGAAGTGCAAACTGCTTTTTTGAGAGGTAGACATATTATAGATGGGGTTCTGATTGCCAATGAAGTGGTGGATTGGTGGAAAAGGTCAAAGAAGAAAGGGCTCATCCTAAAGCTGGATTTTGAAAAAGCATATGACTCCGTAAATTGGGAGTTCTTGTACTCGATGATGAAAAATTTCAGGTTTAGAGAGAAATGGGTGGGGTGGATGAAGACCTGCATATCCATAGCTCGAATTTCAGTGCTAGTTAATGGGTCACCTACTTCTGAGTTTTCTCCCATGAAAGGTCTTAGGCAAGGAGATCTGCTTTCTCCGTTCCTTTTTAATATTGTAGCGGAGGGTTTGAACATTCTCTTGGAAAGAGCTAAGGAGGTGGGATTGATTAGAGGAGTATCTGCAGGTCCAACTGAGTTGAAAATTACACACTTGCAGTTTGCCGACGACACCATCATTTTTTGTGAAGCTGAGTGGGAGGAAGTTGTAGTCGTGAAAAGAATCTTAAGGTGCTTTGAGGTGATGTCTGGGCTCAAAATAAATTTCCACAAAAGCAAGGTGTGTGGGGTAGGTGTTCAGGATGATATTGTACAGGTCTTCGCAAAGAAACTAAATTGCCTAAGTCAAAAGTTGCCAATGAGTTATCTGGGGTTGCCATTAGGAGCAAATCCAAGGAGAAAGGCTGCTTGGAAACCTGTGATAGACAAGTTTAAGAGCAAGTTAGCCTTTTGGAAGAGGAGGTATCTATCTTTTGCTGGAAGATTAACGTTGATCAAGTCCGTTTTGACAAGCTTGCCAGTTTATTTCTTATCCATCTTCAAGTTGCCAGTGGGCATTGCAAAAGTACTTCACAAAATTCAAGCTAACTTTTTTTGGGGAGAGTCAGAAATTAGGAGGAAACTGCACCTAATTAGCTGGAAGGAGATATGCCTAAGTAAAAACAAGGGTGGGCTAGGGGTAAGAAACCTAAGCCAGGTTAATGAGTGTCTACTAGTTAAATGGTGGTGGAGGTATGGAAATGAGGAGGCAGCTTTGTGGAAAAAAGTGATTTGTAGTAAGTATGGCGGTGTAGGTGGCAGGTGGTGCCCCTTATTTATTAGTTCAGTGGGGCTGTCGTATACGTGGAAAGGCATAATATCAGTGGCTGAAGTTAACACTGCTCTGCGAGAATTTTTCTGGCAAAATTTCAGGCTAGTTGTTGGAAATGGCAGAAGGTTGCATTTTTGGTCTAATAAGTGGTGCCACAATCAAAATCTGAGTGTGTCTTTTCCCAGATTATTCTCATTATCAGTTGAAAATGATGGAAAGCTGGTTGATTTTGTACATAAAAGAGTGTCAGATTCAGATTGGAACCTGGTCTTCAGACGTCCCCTCCTAGCATGGGAAGAAGAGGAAGTGCAAAAACTGAATGATTTCCTGCAGAATGCGCCTAGGCTCAATGAAGGGATGGTAGATTCTTGTTCTTGGGTAGCTCACCCGTCTGAAGAGTTCACTGTGGCATCAGTGTGGAAGTGGATGGAAGCAAGTCAAGGGGTAGATATTACAGTAACTAGGTGTATTTGGATCAATTTAGCCCCTCCCAAAGCTCAATTCTTGAGTTGGCTAGCGTGGAGAGGAAGGTTAAAGTGTTATGAATTTTTGCAAAGAATTGGAGTGTTGAGCCCAAATGTTTCTTCTCTCTGTGTGTTTTGCAAATCTGAGTTGGAGACTGTTAATCATGTGTTTCTTCACTGCCATTTCATTTGGAAATTGTGGGCCAATTTGGTGAACTGGTGGAATTACAAATGGGTTAGCCCTGGATCAGTGGAGGGTTTATTTCTGTCATGGCCAGGTATAAAAATGAAGAAGAAGATGCTAACAGTCTGGAAAACAGTGCCGGTAGCAGTTATGTGGTCAGTGTGGAGAAGCAGAAATGACTGTGTATTTAACAAGGTGCAACCGGATTGGATTGCTTTGGCAGAGCTAATAAAGATTAGAGTAGCTTTGTGGGCTTCCTCATCTTTGAAGGGATTTAATTATTCGGTGCATGATATTATATATAATCTGTGTCAAGTCTGTTATTGTGTGTAGTTAAGTGCTGGCATAGTAAAGCTCTGTGGGTTGATTTTGTTTGCTCTACTGAAAAAATGTTTTGCATAAGTGCTGGTATATGTTGTCTTTGATGTTCTGTGCATGAGCCCTGGTATGCTATGTGCTAATTCTGATCTGTTTTGAGATGGATCTGTGTTCATTTGGATCCTGATCTGTTTGATTAAGCTGGTGTATTGTGAGTTAAATTGGGCTGCTGTATGTTGTTTGTTCCTGAAGCTGTGTTGAGATGAATTTGATGTGCTGGTCTGCATCTGTTTTGAGATGGCCTTGGTTCTGCTCAGTTTTAGCTTAGTCTGGTGGATGCATGATGTGTAGTCTGAGTTTTTCTAGTTTATGGATATGAAATGATGATCTGCTGGGTATATGCTTTGTTATGTTTCCAGTTGGCCAGTGCTGAAGTCTGGTGTTCAAAGGCTTCTATGTTTTGCCTTTGGCTGGGCCTTTGGTTTTGTTTGTATTAATAAGACTGAATTCTGTTTTCATTCAATGAGGTGTTCAGCTTGATGCAGCTCATGGTATGCTCTCAAAATTAGCAGGGGTGGATGATTCAGAGGAGGTTGATTCAGAATGTGCAGAGGAGTGTGTTCTTGGCCTGTGCAGAGGAGGGTGTTTCAGAATTTCGGAGTTAATTGATTCAACTGGGGGCTAATCCACCTGAGGGTTGTGCTGTGTGGTGTAACTAGGTGTTTGTTACTAGTTTTTGTTTTTCTGCTGTTTTTTTTCCCTTCTCTTTCTCCTCTTGATCTTTTTTGGTTGGTTCCTCACCAACTGGCGCTTCGAGCTTTGTCTTAGCTCCAAGCTCCTCTTTATTGATGTACTATTCCATACCTTGTATGTTGTCATCAATAAAGATTTTTTTGCCGATCAAAAAAAAAAAAAAAAAATTTGTGAGCAGGGAAAGCTTTGGTTTCTCCAATTGAGAGATATGCAGTTGTTCCTGATGACAACGTAAGTGTTCTTTCCACAGTTTTCATTGTCTTCATTACTGGTGTTTAAATAGTTGGTTTCTCCAAAAGATTATAATTTGCAACTGTTATCTATTTATTTGTAGGTCAAAAGGATAAATTTTGCCGAGGGGAAGATCTGATTCTAGAAGTAAGGAATTTGCAGCTTGATTTTTGAAATAGGCTCAAAATTGAGATCTTGTTGGAAATTTTTTATTTTTTTTATTTTTTGTAAGAGCATTTAAATATCCAATGTGCTGATTGGTGAATTTTAGATTTTATTTTATTATTTTATTTTTTTTTTAGGATTTGGGTGAATTTTATAATTTAAATATGCTGTTATGAACATGTACAATTTAATTATTCTTTGTAAAATATTAAATTTGATGGTTTGATCAATTTTTATTTTTATTTTCTGTTATGATGTTTTTGTGAATGGAATGTAAATAATCAGCTCTTAGAGAGTGAGAGACGGCACCACCGTCGGAAAAAATAGAAATTTTTAATATTTTTATTAATTTTGTTATAGGTTTTACTTTTTGCGACGACATTATACTGTCGCAAAAAATAGAAATTTTGTTATTTAAAATAAAAATTTTATTATTTTTTAATATTTTTTGCGACGGCATTACACTGTTGCAAAAAATAAAAAATTTCATATTTTTTATATTTTCTGTGACGGCACCACACCGTCGCAAAAAACAGTGTTTTTTTTTAAAAAAAAAAGACTATTAGCGACGGTATTTTTTGCCATCTCAAATAACATTTTTAGCAACGGTAAAATAGGGCCGTCGCAAAAAAGTCGAGAAATTTCAAACGTTATTAGCGACTGCACGGTGCCGTCGCAAAAGGTAAAAAATGCCGTCGTAAAACATTAGCGACGGCACTTACCGTCGCAAAAACTCTTTTGCAACCCCTGCAGTTGCGACCCCCTCTTGCCGTCGCAAAAAGTTATTTTTCCGTCGCAAAAATATTAGCGACGGCATTAGGAGTATTAGCGACGGTATTTTACCATCGCAAAAAATTAATTTTTTTGTAGTGAGGGTAGTATTTGCAATGTGGCTTTCAAACCACTGTTGTTGTTCCCTTTTCCCTTTTTAACTACCATTAAGAATCAATTAAATACATAAATAATTGAGTTTGCTAATCTCATGTAGCGAATTTGAAACGTTAGGGCGACTTTTTGACCTTAGAACATATTTATCTTTTTCCTATTTTTTGTATATCTAGTGTAGCTAAGTTGACTCACCTATCAAAAGTTTTTGAGTCTTTGTTTTGGGGTGCAAATGGAGCCGCCATGGGCAGGTTTGGCACCAATTCAGGTTATTTTTGTCTTTTTTGAGTGCATCACTGAATGTCCTGATGTGTCATGGCCTTCAATGCTTTCTTTTATTTTGGAATACTCTACAAGGGAAAAGGTTTGATTTATTTATTTATTATTTTTTAGGTAAACAACTAATAAGTCATAATAATTAGATTTAATTTTCATCAAATCTTATTGAAAATAAATTTTGATAAAATTATAGTTAAAAATAATTTTTTTGTGATAATTTTTTATATACGTCACTAAAAATTGACAATTAGTGATTTTTTTTATAACAAATTTTTTTCATAGGACCTATTAAAAAATAAATTCACTTATTAAAACTTACACGTAAATACCCTTATTTTTTTATGACTAGCTAGGAATCTCCTTCAAAAAGTCTTCTCCCGCTAGTTTAATTTTTAAAATGAGTTTTGAATTATATTTTAAAAAATAAGTTATTGAAAAAAATTTGAAAATTAAAAATTTATGTAGTTATAAGTTTTGAAAGTAGTTTTGGAATGATTTTTAATTTTTTATAATTGAATAGATGGGTATGAGAAAAAAATTAATTGATTGATGTGTAGAATGTAAAAGAATGAGAGAGGAGAGAAGAGAGAGGAGAGAGGAGAAAAAAAAGTGATTGATTGATTTATTAATAATAAAAAAAAGAGAAAGGAGAGAAAAAATTAAATTTTGAATTGTATTTTAAAAATTTTTTAACCAAGCAAGCATTTTTATTTTTAATTCAAATCATGTTTTAAAAATTAAACAAAACATTCCCTTAATTTTCGATACTACAAGAAGGGTAATGGTTAGAAAATTCCTTTTGCAGCATTTATAGGTTTGCTTATTTATTTTTTTAGAAAATATCATTTTGTATCCCAAATTTTGAAACGTTTTTTAATTTAACCCCAAATTTTGTATAATATCAATTTGTAATTGTAATTAGTTTATTTTTTAAATTAATTTTAATAGAATTAATTGACTAATAGTAATTTTAAAATTGAGCGAGAAAAAAATTTAAAATTCAATTACTGTCTAAAGAATACTTAATAGAACTAATACTCAATTTTTTGATTTAAAATTTAATTTTTTCATTTTTTAGATAAAAAATTATTGATTAAATATTGTTTTTTTATCTAAATATTTGGGGGGCTAATTGATTTTTTAAGGTAAAGTTTGGGGGATAAAATGAATTTTCAAATGAAGCTTGATACCATTTTTTTTTTTTTTTTTTCAGCAAACAATTTGGTCAGCAAACAAAGAGAGAATATATATATTGAACACAAATACATCAGTAGCATAGCAAATGAAACCAAACAAAATTGGCTCCAATGAGCTAGCCCGATTAATCGCTAGTAATACAACTGCTGGTGAGAAACCAACAAGAGGAAACCAACAGGAAACAGAGGAGAAGAGCAGCAAAAATCAAAGAAGACACCAACAAGAGGCACCCATGTGGTTGCAGCTGCATGAACCAAAACAGAGGCCGATACAGCATGAACCAAAACAGAGTCTAAGGCAGTAGCATGCACCAGCAGACAGTAGAAATAGAACCAAAACAGAAGCAGTAGAGTCCAAGTAAAACAGCAGAGGCACGGCTGATTTTCCAAAAAACAATAGCAGATTCCAAGAAGAAGAAAGAAATTATCACCAACATAGGGCTTCAGCCTAACCCTCTTCGACAATACTTAATTTGTTGTAAGTTATACAAAATATCATTGACTGAAAAAGGCAGCTTCACATCAGCAGCTCTAACCCACATAGCAGACCTGGTTTTAATTATCTCACACAGACCACACAGATCAGGTTGCAATTTAGAAAACAACACCTCATTCCTGTGTTTCCATATAGACCACAAGGCAGCAACAGGTAATACATTCCAGACTTTTCCTTCAAAGCTAGTACCCAAAAACCCAGCCCAAAACTGTAAAACTCCATCCACTGTTGCTGGCATAACCCACTGGGATCCCCACCAGAGAAAGATATCAGCCCACACCCTCCATACAAAGAGACACCACAACAAAACATGATTTACCGACTCCGCATCAGCTTTGCAAAACACACATTGGGTATTAACAGCAGCCGGAATGACACCAATCCGCTGTAGGTAAGAGGACGTTTTTAACCTTTGCCTCCAAGCTAACCACACAAAAGCTTTTGCTCTAGGAGCAGATACACTTTGCCAAATCATCTTGGAGATTGTACCAAAATCTAAAGATTGTAGACTGTTTTCATACCACCTATAGACAGATGATATGCTGAAGCAGCCCGAGTATTCAGCCCCCCAACATAACGCATCAACCTTATCAGCTCTTAACTTCGGAGTGTTATTAACCAAATTAACCAAACGAGCCACCTCTTCCTTTTCCCAATCTCGGAGCATTGTATTGAAGCATTCCTCCCAGTCATGTAGGCTCCTTCTTGATTCAATCACCTGCTTAATTGTTTTCAGCTTATCTGGAGAGATACGATATAGTCGAGGAAATTCATCTTTTAAACATGTAACACCAGCCCATGTCAGCAAGTTCTATTTGATTGTAGACGGAATGTGACGGCAGGAGCCAAATTGGTCAAAATTTTAAAAGTTTAGGGGGCAAATTGATATTATACTTAGTTTAGGGTCAAATTGAAAAACGCGTGAAAGTTTAGGAGACAAAATAATATTCCTCTATTTTTTTAAGCATAAAATATGAAAAACATTTAGTCATTTGTTACTTATCAAAAACTTCAAATAGTAAATATTTTTTTTAGAATAAGCCAACAAAAAAATTATTATTTTAGGCAATTTTTAAAATTTTTTTGTGGGTATTTTTAGCTGCAATTTATAAATTAACTTGTTTTGTAGACTTAATTTTTTTTTTCAAAAAAAATAAAAATAAAAATAAAATTTAAGTTTAAAAAATTAAAAAAGTTAGTGAAAAGTCAACACATGAAGTGTTTTGTTCGTTATCCTCCATATCTTCAAATATGGAGGATCCTCTCCCCAAAACAACTCCAATCCATCCTCTATATCCTCCTCCATTTGGGAGGAGGATGAATTGATCCTCCAAATATAAGAGCATCTCCAACCCATCCTCCATATCTTCAAATATGGAGGATTTGTGTAACGACCCACATTTTGACTTGGCCATACTGGCATACATTTATGAACGATCTTGTGTTAATGTAACAACCCTCATACTGTTTACTGATTAATGATTGATTGATTACCGATAACCATCGATCACCGTTAAACCGAATTGATTATGACTGACAATTGGATTGATTAAAGTACTGAATTGACTAACTGGAATCCGGAATTAATTGACTGACTGTATCTGTGTAAATGCATAATCCATCTATTTGATTGTTTGATTATCTGTTCGTGTTTTATGTTTAAACTGCTAATTGAAGGCCTTATCGACGGCCGAACCAGAAATTGATTAGTGTTTTATGATCATCATAATTAATGTGATTTTATGGTATAATTATCTTAAAACTGATTAGGTATGATTAAATTAGATTAAAATGAGTCAATTATATGAATTGGACTTATTTACAACCTTGCCCTTGAGTGGGCCACTACCTATACACCTTTGAGTTCATTAAATCAAATGTTTTCCTCAGCCTTCTTCCTTGCATTGCCGACCTTAGAGAGAGAGAGGAACTAGAGGAGTGAATTTCATCTCATTTGCTTGTAAATTGCTTGGAAATTGAAGGAATTGGAGTATAGGTTGCAAATTAAGCTTTCTCCCCTTGTAATTGAAGCTCTAGGTAAGGATTTCAACCCCTCTTTGTTGTGTTTAAGCTTATTCATGCAAGATTCTTGAGCCTCTAGTGAATTAAGTCTAGAATTGGTTCATTGTTGTTGATATAGAGCATAACTCATGCATGCATGTTAGTGTTATTGGAGTTTGAGTTGAGTTCATGGCAAAATATTGCATGCATGTTCACAATTATGTTCAAGTCCATGATTTCATCATGTTTTGGAAACAATTGGCTCCTTAGAGCATCAATTTGGAACTTCAAAATGATTTGAATTCATGCATGTTTGCATGTTCATATTGTTCTTGAAAAAATGGTTTGAAATTGGGTTTCAATTAAACACCCTTGGGCTTGATTTCTCAAATTGAGTTTTGAACTATGTATTCTATATGTTTACAACTGTTTTCTGGAAATTCAGCCCAAGAGGATCGGTTTTGATGCTTTTGAACTTGGTTTTTGGCTTGGAGGTGCAATCTGGAATCTCCAGATTTTGCACTTCCGCTCGAGCGGGGTAGAGACGCTCGAGCGGGGAATCCGAGCATCTTGTATCTCTGCACTGTTTTACAGTCCGCTCGAGCGGAGGATTGGCGCTCGAGCGGTCATGTGCTCACGATCGAGCGGGAGTCGAGCGCCCGTCGAGCGGAGATTTCACCCATCCAGTACTTTTACAGTACGCTCGAGCGGGAAAGTTGACGCTCGAGCATGTACCTTTGTTGCATAACCGCTCGAGCGGGGAAACCTGAGCTCGAGCGGGACTCTGTTTTTCTGCTAAATTCTGAAACTGCTTTTTGAGTACATCTTTGCATCCTCATCCCATTCTAGGCATTTCTAGGCCTAGTTTAAGACATCTTGGAGGATATAGATGTAGAACACACCGAGGCAAATTAGGATTTAATTGGTATCTTTCCCAGCTGTGTAGCTTAGTGTGTGTTCAATTTGTTAACTGTGTAGGGTTGGCGACTGGGGAGACGCGCTCTAGCTTACTGTAGCCCAAACTCTTGAGTAACAATTGTGTAAAGATATGTTCAACTGATATCTTTTGAATTGTTTACTGAACTGTTTACTGAACTGGTATTATTTACTGAATGAATGTATGTCCTTTATTTCTGAATTGTACTGTGGCATCCTTAGTACTTACTGTTTACTGTTACTGTTACTGCGACAGAATTCTCTGTCGGTTCCCTCGTTGGAACCACTACTGTTTACTGACTGATGGCCATCATTACTGTTCGGTCTTTTAAGACCTACTGTTACTGTTATGCTAATGGATGTACCACATATGACTGTTTACTGTACTGAGCAACTGAAATACTGATTGAAATGAACTGTTTTCATTACTGTAAGAACATTCATTCTAAACCCCTTTACGCTTTACGTTATTCACTGGACTTTAGCTCACTGCTCATATATATATGTAGGTGTGTAGGCACCGGACCAAAGCTAGAGGCGTCAGGGTTACTCCAGTTTTGTCAAGCCAGCTTTTGTGCCTCACTGCGAGGTTTCAAGCCTATTTTGCCAAGGCTTAGGGGTGTTTTAGATTCCCCCTTCTGCACCGTCTTACTGTTCTGTATAGACTGAATGTTGACCGTACTATTATGCAGGGATTAAGTCCCTAGTCTGAATGATTGTAAATATTGTGCATACTATTCTGTACTGTTTATGTATATATGCATGAAAAATCTTTTTGACATACAGACTGTCAAAGCTCATTGGGCATTGTTTAATTACTGTTTTGGCTTCCGCCAGGCCCTGTACTCTGTTTTACTGTACTACTGTTCTGCAGGCCTTGGGTAATCTCGGATTACTGGCCGGTTACAGTGCTAAACCCATAGGGCCGGGTTTGGGTCGTGACAGAGTGGTATCAGAGCGATACTTAACCACGAGTCATATCGCACACACGTGTCCAAATGAGCTACAGGGTGTCCTAGGAAAGTGATTAGGGCATTTCATGAACTTGAAAAGTGTGTGGTTATGTTATGATTGAATATCTGCTAATGTGTTAAACTGTGAAACAAATGACTGTTTATGTTTAAAACTGTTATAACTGCTTATAGTGAAATGGACAATGCAAATGAACCTGAATCCTCCTCTACCGAGGCAAGAATGGAAAGAATGGAAAGAATGATGAAACTGATAACTGCTAGACTTGAACAACAATAGAACCAACAGCCCCCGCCTCCTCCTCCGGTACAGCCGGAACCTAATGCGAATGTGAATGATAGGGATATTATTGCTCTGACCCAGAAGTTCAGCAAAATGAAACCGCCATCCTTTCAGGGAGGACTTGAACCGTTAAAAGCTGAAGCTTGGGTTCTGGAAACAGAAAAACTATTTGAAGTGTTTCCGTGCTCCGGAGCGAATAAAGTATTGTTAGTTACCTTCACCCTACAAGAAGAAGCTAGAAGGTAGTGGATGTTGATCCGCGCTACAAATACTGTTATGACTTATGCTCAGTTCAAGGAGTCCTTCTTTGAAAAGTACTTCCCCTAGTGTGTCAGGGATAGGAAAGTGACTGAATTCGAACAACTAAGACAGGGTACGATGTCCGTTGCGGAATATGAAACAAAATTTACTGAACTTGCCAGATATGCACCACACATGGTGGACACTGACTACAAAAAGGCCAGGAAATTCGAAGGCGGCCTTAATGTTGTAATACTTGATCGAATAAATGTTTTGAAACTACCGACTTTTGTGGGTGTTCTCGACCGGGCATTGATGGCCGAGTCGAACATTGAAGCACTGAAAACTGAAACACCAACGTCGGAATGGCGCGGCAAGAGGCAGGGTTTTAAATTCAAGAAAGGCAAGCACAATCCGGCCAACAAGAAACAGAATACGGGGTCGACAACTAGCCCCAGCCAAGGGAGTGGGTTCATACACCCTGTTTTGAGTGTGGCAAGAAGCACAAAGGGGTCTGCTACAAAATATCTGGAGCCTGTTACAGGTGTGGCAAGGTGGGCCACATGGTTAAAGACTGCCCCTCTGCTCCACAAGCCAGTAGTAAAGCTGCACCAAGCGCAGTAGCATCAACTGTAGCACCAAAACCTAACCCCAGAGCTACCGGGAAAGAGCCCATGAGGCAGGGCCGAGTGTTCGCCCTAGTACCGGGAGACGTACAAAATATTGAAACCGTTGTGTCAGGTATCCTCTCTATTTGTACACAAAATGCATATGTATTGATTGATTCGGGGTCTACGCATTCTTATGTGTCGCATGCTTTCTCACGGAAATTGAGTAGACCCTTAGAACCCATGAATTATCTGTTAGCTGTATCATCACCCGTTGGGGGATCTATGACATGTGCTTATATGTACCCTGCATGTGAAATCATTGTTGGGGACATGCATCTGTTTATCGATTTACTACCATTGAACATTGATCATTTTGATGTAATATTGGGGATGGATTGGTTACAAAAATATCATGCCACTATTGACTGTGTGACCAAGCAAGTTGTTTTCCGTCCACCTGGTTTGCCTCTCTTATTGCATATTCTGCATGATGTCTTATACTTGTGCAAGAGAGAGTGGTGCGAGTGTTCACAGTGCCTCTTTCCCTCTCCCCTGCTGTTTATATTCTGCTTCACAATTCCCTAGTTTCGGAGCCTGTTTTGAGCAAGAAATTATGAAGCATCTTAATGGGTTGCCACACTATGTGTCTCGTAGAGACTGTATAACGCGATGTATCTGATTTATTATGCACTAGGCGGTTCTCATCAATACATACGTCTGATTTCCTGTGCTCGGTTAACATACGCAATAGCAAGTGCCGATAAAAGTGAGTTTATACCAAATGTCTCGAAATTTTTTACTCTCCTGGATATGTCAGGAATTCCCCTCAGAATTGTATCGTGTGCTTACCACATGATGCTGCTAGGGAAGTTTGATGACATGGAGAAAATTGAATTAGCCTAGTTGGTCTGTTATACCGAGGATGATTCCGGTATAACAACTAATCTATGCGACGGCTGCATATTCGTCAATATTGCAATCACCGTTCTTGCACCCAAGATCATCCGGGCCTGCTCCCTTCCAAGTTGCAAGTTCTTCTGATCTGGTGGTGAGTAGATAAATAGTGTCTTTAAAACTCTTTGTAGGTCGGTGTAAGTAAACCACTTCAGCGGATGTCAATGCCACCCGAATACAGATAAGTGAAGCGCCTAGTTATTTAATCTCGGTGCACGACAATTACTACCTTGCAGCAAGGTAGCTAGATTCATGGGTGACGGATTTACGACCGTTACTTGGGTTCACCACGCGGTTTTTGTTGTTCTCAGTATATGACAGTAAAGAGACGAATGAGGCAAATGATATCAGGTCCTCTCCGCGATTTC